AGCTCTGTTCTCACCAGTTGATCTCCAGGCAGACTGCCCGTGTGCATAGATATGCCTAAGTGGTTCATCCGAATAGTCCAAGAATCTTCAGCACCTTCCTAGACCAAGCTTTAGCTTCCAGTACTTGCCCATGTTCAGCCTGCAATCAGACTGAACCCACTTCACTTAAAACCATGCATTTGCAGAAGTGCAAAGTATAATTTCATAGTAACTTTCACTTATTGGAAATAATTTGTCTTAACTTGAAGTTTTGAGTTGTATTTGCTGGGCTAGTAGTTAGAAAAATCTATCTTTTAGCTTATAAAATGATCAAATTTGATCTGTAAGCTACAGAGAGATAATGACCTTGGCAACAGTGCTTTTTTGAGAGTCACTTTTCTGATTAAAAACACACTTTAAGAGGCAATAATATGAGAAAAAACAGGACAGTTGTTAACTACTCAAGGTTAAATTTTCCTAGAAAGTCTTTGAATGCCTGTTTGCAGACAATAAACTGCACAGAAGAAATAGAAACATTGACAAAGATACATCTAGTCCAACTGAAAATGATAGATTTATATTACCTAATTATTCATCTGAACATAATAATTCTCAGATGCCTATGCAAAGGATTATAAGACTTTAAGAAAATATGGGAAGAAGTTTGCAAGTGTAGAAGATAACACGAGAAGGGAGCTCCCTTCTTCTTACTATTTTATATGTTCTTTTACTTTGTTTCTCTAAGAGCTGCATAGTTGGTGTTTGAGAATGTCTCTTAGAAGCTGCATAGACACCTGTTTTCAAGGAAGACAAATGAAAGCCAGGTGAAAACTTCGTGAAATGCTATCAAATCCAGAATTTTCTGTACGTTAAACCATAATCTTTTTTCCCACCAACCCCCTCCGATTCCTTGTTGGTGTTTGGTTTTCCCTGTGTAGCTTCTCGTCCTCCTAAGAATGAGAAGCCTGTCTTTTATCTGTTAGGCATGTGAAAATGCATTTTTTTCCTCTCAATTATTTTTAATGCATGTGAGGGAAAAAAACCCAGAAGTTGGTGAATATTTATTCAGACTGATTTGGCAGCATTTCGTTATTTAAGACATAAATCAAATTTGGAACTTCCTTTTTCCTGGGGGACAAATTGTTTATCTGAATTTGAATGTGCTTGTGAATCAGTCATGGGGATAGTGCTTGTGCTATTGCTGTGTAATAGCAATTATTTGCATTGGTTTACATTGTTTTGCTCCATAGCATAAGGTAGTCAGGCTGCACACAGATGCACAGTACATCTGCTGATCACTGCAGGATCACAGCCATGGACCTCAGACCTCCAGTTATGTGCATGTTTATCTACCAGTATACATTCCACTAACATCAGAAGAACTCTTCCAGTATGTGAAGTTAAACAGTGTGTGACTGGTGTGTGGGGTCTGGGCCCAAGATTATTCCCAAGGCAAAGTCCATTGAAGGATAAGAGCTACAAGGCTTGTTCACAAAGAAATGCTTGGGAGGAGATAACTAAATAATTTTGTGAATTGGCTACTAGTTCAAACTATCTTCCCATTTGGCTCTATGGCTCATAGTTAACATTTTAACATTTATGACACTTTTGTATGGGTATACTGGGTTGCAGATTCATGCCCTTTGAAATGGACAATGCATTCCTTGTGTCCAGAAATCTCACCCTGCGTTAGCAGCTTTGCGAATGGAAAGAGAAGAGGTTAATTCCTTTAGTAGTATCTGCTGAAGAAATTTAAGGACACACAAAGGCAAGTGCTTTCCCAACAGAGTACACAGTTATCTGTTTTGCAAAGACAGTCCAGACTTAGTTTTTATACTTCTAAGCCTGACAGTGTGTAGTGCTTTCATTCACACAGAGTGAGCATTGACTTTTATCATATTATTAGCATTCTAAACTCACAGTTTCAGAGGTTTACAACTCAACAGTAGGTTTAGACTCAGTAAATTCAGCCCAGGAGCACTATTTTTCAGTGTAAAAGACATCTTTAGTTACTACAGTATCAAGCCAAGCAGACCTTGCTTATTTCAGGCTTTTTTAAAGGTCTTAGACTGCAAATTAAAAAAAAAAAAAAAAAAACAAAAAAAAACCCTCAAAAATGAATTGCTACAGAGTTTCATTCTGATGTTCCTCAGATTGCTAGCCTCCTTTGACATAATTGGAAAAAAATTGAAAAGACTGAGTGATAGGCATTTAAAATCAGCTCCTGAGAACTCATAATGGTCCCTATTCCACATATTCCTGTGCAAATCTCACTGACATCAATGGATGTGTTCTGTACACATCCTACCTTTAAAATCCTGCATGCATAATCACCGTTAGCATTGTTACGGTATCTGCTGTGGGTGGGTGCAACTCTGAATGCAGATTTGTACTAGCAGCCGTAATGGTTCTCTCCTGAGAGAAATTCAGAGAGCTGTTCATAAGCTGTTCTGGACTTTTTGGTAACTAATCCAATCTCACACATACGCTCTCAGGTACTTTTTGTTAAAGAAAATCAAACAATTTAGAATACATATTTATATGACAGACACTGTTCCAGTCTGTTGGATAAATTATATGCATTTTACAATATTCACTTACAGAGACGTATAGGTTTGTATATACTATAGTAACAGCAAAATAATGTTAAGCTTATGATATAAGGTGAAATGAGCCCAGAAAATTTCAATGAAAAGTACACTGTACTATATGTCGGATGGTTTCCTTTCTTTCATAAAACTGTGTATGAAAGAGAAATTTTGATTTCAATTGCTTAGGAATGGTACGTATGTATTACAGCCTGATCATTTTTCAAGCACGAGATATTGTGTGTTTAATTAACATTACTTCTGTGTGTTTAGGTAATTACCATTAGAACACATGAGGACATATTGTACTTATTGCCTGTGCTAGAGCATAATGTCCTGGACTACAACAACTACACTTGTTAAGCTGATTTTAGCATTTCTTCACACAGCAGGAAGCACCCATGCTGTGGTTTCTTAATGTTCTCTTTAACTACTGCACTGTTGAGTACTGTACAATAAAACTAATAATTAATTATGATCCTCATCTTACCACTACTGTTGCTATCCAGTGACCCTGGTTCCTGTTTCAGGGTTCCACTATCCCGTACCCTGAAACACATATCTTGCCTTTCAGAGTTTTATTTCTTAGATTATATTGCTGAACAGAGCTGAATTTTTTGAGGACAGGTTTGTTGCATGGATTGTGATGGCTTCACATTTGTTCAGGTCTCCAAGGACCAGCACCAATAAATGTGAAAGAGACAACAGCAGAATGGCATACTTTCCCATTTCCACCAGGATGAAAAAAAATGCTTTAAATTAAGTCTAACCTTAAATGTATAATCTGTCCTTGGGAGCAAAAAAAAAAAAAAAAAAGATATAGCATCTTCAAGCTCTTGGCATCCCTTACGAGAAAAAATTGGTTCTAAGGGTCTCTGATCTTGTGTTTTAGTAAAATAGAACTGCACGGCTGACTGACAGTTCTGATCTAAAGCATTTACGTTTAAGTTTTGATCTCTCTGCTTTTGATTAAAACTAATGAGCTCATTTAATTCAAAATGGGAATCTCTGATAAGAGAAATAAGGTTGATGTGATTGGATTAGAGGGGCAAATTAAACTCTTAGAGCAGAAGTTTGTGCTTATATAGTGTATTAAAAAGCTGTTGGCGTATTATGGCGTGTTAGATGATGAGAAAAATTTCATAGTAATTCATATTTAATCAGAAGAAATGAAAGTACTAAATATAACATGGCTCTGCTTTTCCCTCGAGTGATAAAGAGCTGTACATTTAAAATGACATCGAATTCATGCTCTCTAAAACAAAAAAATCTTAAAAGAAACACTAAAGAAAGGGGCACTGTTGACAGTTATTTCATCACAATAGAGCTGAAATGTCACAAACACAGGACAACGTGACCATATCAAATCAAGGACAATTCGATATAATCCTTAGCTCACAAACAAGTTCCTGTGTTTCTATTGACTGTATAACAAATGCCTTTTAAATACTTGAATACTTTCTACTAGTAGTTTGGTCAATTCCCCAAAACAATAGCAGAATAAATTCAAAATAACTTTTTTTATTCAGTGTTAATTACTCACTGAAACTGAAAGTTAGTTAATCTCCAATAATGCTTGCTTATTGTAAGCTGCTCCAGAATTTTCCCATGAACAATATTTTGGGAAGAGGTTGGTTGTCAGGGTTAAAAATAGCAATAATAAAGTTTATATAAAGAATATCTCAGTACTGACTTGAGTTGTACCCACTATTTTATCATGGTTTATACTAAGAGTATTTATTTACTATTTTAAGTGGTTGCAGTTGAGGGAGTGGGAAGCACAGGTGAGAGCTATAGTTTCAAGCAGGAGGAATCTCTTCAATTGGACTACAAAGATATTTCATTAGTGACTTATTAGTCACCAATAATTAACGATGATGGTGATGATGACAATAATAATAATATGTGTCATTTACATGAGCATTTTTGCTTTCAGTTGCTCAGTGCTTTATTGATAATAATTAACCCTCAGTAATGGGGAAATCAAGGCACTCAAAACCAGCAGTGGGTCACCCTAGGTATCACTGTTTAAGTGAGGAGTGGAGACTAGGGAATGAAAGTCTGCAGAATTTGCAGCCTATTTCAGCAGACAGAATCTGAAGAACTCCCCAGTTTTTAAAACAATGTCAAACCCTAACAAAATAACTCCAGTCATAATAAAATTGTGCAAGAAAGAGTTAATGAGGCAAATCTCTGTTAAAAATTCTATGGAGAAAAATAACTTCAAAATGAAGACTGAGTATACATATATTTTTCAAATTTTTTTTTTTTTGCTAAGTAAACGTTTTCTAAACGAGGTAAATTGATTACAACACTCTTAGCATCCATCAGTCATTTATTTTTAGTGAGTTCAAGGATTGCACCTGAAAAATAGCGTAGAGGGGATGTATAAAATCTAAATTATGTGTATATGTATTTTTTTCTGTTCCCTAGTGGAATCTACAAGCCCCAGTTTACTAACCACTGACAACACTCTAGAGCGCTCTTTTTTCATCCGAATGAAATCTACACTGACCAAGCGAGGCGTGCACATCAAGTCGTCAGGATACAAGGTAAGGGTTGCACTCTAGCATGAAATATTGACATTTTTAAATTATGTTCATTCATGTTCCAGGGACACATTAACAGACAGAGAAAGGAGCTATTTTGCATTTGCATATGTCTCATTCCTTTTGTTAAAGAATCATTAATGCAATATTTCCAGCCTGAGGTTTGGCTTTGGTACTACACCTCCATTAAATGGATCATTATGATGATAAACATTGATGATAACAGCATGATAGCCTTCAAAAGAGCAACACTTCCAGAGTAAAGGTATATTTTACCAAAGAAGGTGAGTCAGAGTAACATCACTTTTTCCATAGTGGAAAATTACTGCTCATTTTGTTAGACTTTTAGTCATCTTTGGGTTATGTTTTTCCCAGAGAGGTAGGATTTCTTCATGCAGACAATATGCTGGAGCTATTTAATTTCACTGCCATTCTGGCTGAAGGAAACAACAAGACACAACGTGTACTTTTCCACCATTTTTCTTTCATTGTCTGTCTGAGGGGCATCTGCTGCTGGGGATCATATTTGCTGGATTTCAGACTCTTTTAAGATATGAAAGTCTCTTGTTCCTTATCAGCAGTAATCTCATTTTTCTTCAGTCATATATCGCTCATGGTGCCGGTAGCTATCAGTGGCTTTGCAGTATACTAAAACTAGAAGGAATAGCACATTTTTAACATTGTCAACTTGCGGAATGAAACATGTCATCCGTTAAGTATTATGCAAGATAAAAGAGTAGTGCAAGAAAGTAAGTCTGAGAATGTGTGTGTATTTAAAGAAGTTGCTTGTCAATGTTAATTTTAAAACTTTCACGAGCATTTTTTTTCAGTTTTCAGAGGAAGATTTAGAGGAGCTTTGAATTAAAATTCCCCAGCTCACTTTTCCCAAAAAATTCTCTGTGAATATAGCATCGAGGTAGTCTACCTGCACAGTAAAAATCTGGTAGAAATGCCTTCTTTGCAAGCAAATGACTGGGAGTCCTTGTGTTGGATGGTTTCTGGGTCAAGATGATTAAAGTAGTTGCTGATGGAAATTTAGGTCCAAATCAGTGGTTCCTTAAGGCACCACAAATTTTGATCTGTGTACTGCTTGTCAACACCTGAAAGAATGCACTCAGTGCTTGTTCATGCTGACCAGTTTACAAGTCTCAGAAGATATCAAGACCACGAAGTGTACTGGCAGTCTCAGGAGGAGGAAGGCAAATAAATGAATAAATGGGCAGGTCATTGAAGTTATACTAATTTTTATGATCAGGCATGGTCCATGCAGGCTAGGCCAAAGTTAGATTGGCAGAGAACTTGCTTTTCGGGGGGATATTTTTCTTCCAATAGTAATGGGAAAAAATAGAGAATTCGTCTCTGGATTTGGTAGTCTGACATTTTTTTGCCAGAAGTAGATGAGAACAAAAGGAAGACATGTGAAGGACTTTGTCGTTCTTTCTTCTTGGACTCCTGACAATCTAATGTTAGTCCAGCACCAGAATAGGACATATCTAGAATGGGCTGGCTTCACAAGGTGGGGTTTTTGCTCATTACAATACAGTTTTTGAAATTCACAGTAGACCCTTTACTCAAAAAAAAGACTCAGTAATGTCTATCATATAAATACTATTTCATTTCTCTTAGACCTGCTAATGCCTCATGGAAACACTGAAAACCATAACTGAGATGTCACAGGTAGAGCAGAATGAATTTTGAAAGATCAGATATCATTTTTTAGCTAGTTTTTCCTAGACACAAAGAATGGATAAAAAGAGAAGGTATAATAGTTGAAAAAACTGTCTGTAAATAAATGTCGTGGTTTAACCCCAGCCAGCAACTAAGCACCACGCAGCCGCTCACTCACTCCCCCCCCATCCAGTGGGATGGGGGAGAAAATCAGGAAAAGAAGTAAAACTCCTGGGTTGAGATAAGAACGATTTAATAGAACAGAAAAGAAGAGACTAATAATGATAATGATAACACTAATAAAATGACAACAGTAGTAATAAAAGGATTGAAATGTACAAATGATGCACAGGGCAATCGCTCACCACCCGCTGACCGACACCCAGCCAGTCCCCGAGCGGCGATTCCCTGCCCCCCCCCACTTCCCAGTTCCTAAACTAGATGGGACGTCACATGGTATGGAATACACTGTTGGCTGGTTTGGGTCAGGTGCCCTGGCTGGGCATGAGAAGCTGAAAAATCCTTGACTGTAGTCTAAACACTACTGAGCAACAACTGAAAACATCAGTGTTATCAACATTCTTCACATACTGAACTCAAAACATAGCACTGTACCAGCTACTAGGAAGACAGCTAACTACATCCCAGATGAAACCAGGACAATAAAACATTTGTTTTTTTCCAAATTTTTCCATGAGGCATCAGCAAGTCAGCATGAGTAAAATTGCATAAACAGTATGTGAGTCCTAAGCAGGTGTAAATATAGACGTGTAGTTCCTCTGCTTTTTGACGTTTTCAAGGATTTTGTAACTGACAGTGTTTGGCTGAATTCAGCTGTGTCCAGCCATATTAATTGTATTTTGTCAGTTTTTCAAAAGCATGGTTATTGCCACTCTGTGTTCAATGGAAGGAGAATTATACATAGCCTCAGTGAGACCCAGAAAAATTGTGTATTCATTTTAGAAGAGTTGGATCACGTGAATGTCTTTTTAACTGAATGTTAAGAACTGCTTTGTTTAAATGTCATTCTCAGTTGGTGTATTAGACAAGCATAATAAAACTGAACTGCTATAGTGAATGTTAGGAACACTTCTAGGAACATTAGCGATTTATTCATTGATTTCTAAAAGTCCAGTGCCAGAACAAACTTAAGGCTTCTTGAATTCGTTCAGGTATATATTTTATTAAAATTAAGAAAGATCCATGAGCCTTATGGATGTACAGCTATAAGAAATTATCAAAGGAAAGAACAGTTACATAACAATGACAAAGCTCATGGGAAGAGCTGGCTAAGTTCTGCATCAGAGGTCCCTGGAAGACCTCCAGCACTTACTCAGGAAACACTATGCCAGCTGGGGTCATGTGCAGCAGAGTTCCTGTGGGAAATCCTGGTAGAGCAGGCTGACTTGGGAGCCACTGTCTCACACCTTCAGAATACAACAGAGCACTGAATTTTCCCTCTGCAAAAAGCAAGGGCTCCTGGCTAACAGCTTCCCTTGAGCTCTTGTGTCACTGTGAGTGGGTAACCCTCCTGAATCAGCATACAAACATTCATCAGGAGAAGTGTGCTGTGAACTGTGTATCTTATGTGAGTCAGGTTTTACCTCTATCAAAGATATTCAGCTCCCTGTGGATTCAATCCTCCAGCAGTGACAAAATTTTTCATCTTTGTGAAGTGGCTGTGTCTTGTTCCAAACTCTTACTGAGCTCAGAACCACATCTCCATTTTTTGCTTGCTTTGAGGACTGCTGATGAATGTTTTCTTTAGATAGCAAATGATTGAGGTGGTCCACAAGATGCTTAGCCAATTTTCAGAACAAGTGATCCCTGCCTCAGGAAAATCACATAAAATTGAAAACAGTCAGAGAATGAGATTGATTAATCATTTGGGTTGATCTAGTCAGGACTAATTTTCTATCAAAAGAAGTGTTGGAACAAAAATCACACTGATAGACTTACACTTATGTATACCTCAAAGAGACCTTTCCAGATCATTCCGACATGAGATGAACCCTGTTTATAGCCCTTTCCTGGACTGATTTAATTAGTCCGGAATTATACGTAAAGATGGAGGTAATGGCCTTTTTTCCATGAATTTTATTACCTTAAAAGTCTGAAATGGGAAAGCGGTTACATGATTAATCCTCCCTCTCTCCTTCCCTTTCATTGTTCCCTACCACCCTCCTTGAATTGGATTTTCCCATTCTTAATATTCTTAGGCTCAGAGCTTGTAGGAAAAGAGTTTACATGTAGTGCTAGAGAGCTATTCAGTTTTCAGTGAGTAAATCTACAATCTTAAAAAAAAAAAAAGTCAAATAAAATGTAGAAATCTGATAAAACACATTGAAAATAAATAAAAAGAAAAAAATAATTCCATTCGCTGCAAAACTCAGAATGTATTACCATTACAGCTGTTGTCTAAGATACATAATGCAAAAAACTTACTGTTTTTTCTCTGCTGAAAATGTATCACATCGTCCTTTTTTCAACTTTTTTCATCAATAAAAGATAGTTTTGTGTTTAATTTGGATTTTTGTTGTCTCCATTTTATCTCCTTTTCCATTTGTTTTCCTCCATTTGAGGGTCACAATTCTGTCCACTTAACAGTTATCCCACCTTCAATGTTTCTATTGTCAGGCATATCTCAAAGCAAATTTTAACTGAAAACTACTTTGTTCAAGTCCAGTGATACTTTTCCTACTCCCCTATAGTATCACGTTATTGTTTTGTCACATTTACTTTCATGTGAGATTGTGCTAGGATTTTTTCTGTTCAAACCTTTAGAGCCTGATACTGGTCTCTTGAACAAAGCATAACTATTGGGATGAAAAAGTAGTCAAAGCATCAAACATCATCAGAGCCAGTAGTTGCCAGTAGTTTCCAGTTCATCAGCTCATCAGATATGTTAGTATATATCCATACATATTCCTCTACTGTTTTATGGAGTAGCTCTTTCATGATAAGCTATTACAGAGGTGGATAAGCAAACATGAAGAGATTGCCTTGTACTTTTACTGTCGCTGTGGCAATCTCTGAATTTGGTATAACCAACATCTGTTGCCTCTCAATCTCCCAAGAAGCTGGCAGTCAACCTTCATGGCGATCCATCAGCAGACTTAAGGGCATCTTAAAAATCCTTCAGACTGTACCTTCCTACTTGGAGTGGTACTTTCTATCTGCTGTGTTACCTAGATGCCTTGGACCATTCAGTGTCAACAAGAAACAGTCTCCATGTCATTAAAATATCAAAGTCATTGAGGTCACAAGGCAATGAGTCTACTGCAGACTCTTCAGTAACTGGAAGTAAATAGAGCAGCTATCATGTGCTGATCAAA